TGACACTTCAAACGGCTGTATCTCGGTTCCTGGAACAGCTAGAAACTTGGAATTTGAACCGAAATGTGTAGAATATCATGGGGACCAAGTTGATAGTGAACTTTAGATGCTAAAAATCATCAAAAATCGCTGAAAATGATTTTTAAGCTATTTTGAGCCACACTGGCCATGTGCACCCCTAAAACCTTACCATTCTCCTGCTCCTTCTCGGCCATCTCCATCGCCGTCTTCTCATCCATTTGCTCATTGTCCATCAACAAAATGAACGCTGGCTCGTCGTTCTTCTTGATACCGTACACCACTTGAACCTTATCAAACTGCTGATCCCAATTCTCTTTTCTAAACTTCTCCAGCTCAATTGGGTCCGTTATACAGTCGCCAAATCGGATATTGGGGCGCTTTTTGGCCGCAGCGGCGGTCGACGCGGTCGAAGGATTGGTCATCACTGGCGCTTTCAGATTGACAGTTTCAGCGATTTCGGCGCCGGAAATTGATTTTCCAGACGTTTCTGGCATCACTTCTGGATGTTTCAGACGGAGATGACGAATCGCACGACAGATGTTGAACGGTTTGTGGAGGGCGTAGGTTAGGTTGCAGATGAGACATTCGACGAGTTGCGGATGCACGAATTCCATTGAGCCGTCGCCAATTCGTTCGAGACGCGCCTAGAATTCGAAGTTGCTCATAAAATAGAAAAAAAAACTTCCTTTTGTTCCGCCAAGAAACCGCACTTCTAGCGTTTCTAGGAGCCGCGATACAGTCATTTGAAATGTTGGAGGTTAGAGATGCCAGACGACGAGACACGCTGCGTCTCTAGCCTCCCGAAACTTCAAATGGCTGTATCTCGGCTTCTAGAAGCGCTAGAAACCTGGAATTCGGACAGAAATGTGTACAATTTCGTAGAGAACAATTGGAAAAGGCTGAAATTTCATTTTCATCTTTAAACAATTATTCAAAATGACTGAAAATAGCCGAATTTCAGCTGAAAAAAATGGACTGCCGACTGTGACGGCTAATGCGCTCATTTGCCTACCTTAACAAGTTCATCTTGCATATTATGGATTGCCGACGGATGGAACTCCTTGAAATGTTTGGTGGCGCCCGCCGAGATGACCGGGGCATAAAGAAAGCGATTGCGTATAGTAGTATGCCGTCTCTAACCGCGCCAACTTATAGCTGTATCTCGGCTCAACGTAGTCCAAATTCGCTCGTTTTTGGACTGAAACATACTAAAAATTGGAAAAAATTGGAAATTGAAAATTTCCAAAAATAATTTTAACTCCACATTTTGGAATTCTAAAAAATTTGAAAACCGGAATGTCTGGAAATTTCTAGAAACAGAAAACCAATTTTTTTCATTATCAAATATCTGAAACTTGTCAAAAAACCGGAGAAAAAATTCTGAAAATTAAAAAAAAATTTTAAAATACGGAGCCATATTTTTCGGGTTTTGACAAATGTAAAGTTCTGAAAATCTTTAAAATTGAAAATCAAAAATTTCATCAACAATATTCTCAAAATCCCGTTCAAACCAAGCCATTCTATCTGAAAACGGACTCTCTAGCTCATCTAGGAGCCGAGATACAGCCACTTAAATTTTAGGAGGCTAGA